TCTCTTATACACATCTTGAAGATTCCACGTTTTGCTTCGATAAATAAAATATAGAAAGACAGCAATAAAAAACAGCTATGAGTTGTAAACATACTAGAAGCAATATAATTTATTATATCACAAATATTTCAAACACTCCTGTGTTCTCAGTGTGACAACTGACAAAAATACAAAGTAAAGCAAGTATCAGGAAATGGTATTGGTTACAAATTAAAATACCAATAGAACCTAATTAAAGGCGGCATATAAAGATTTAATATGCCGCCTTTAATTAGGTTCTCTTGTTATTTTAATTTGTAACCAATACCATTTCCTTAAATAATAATAATAATTTATTGGGAAACTATACACTTTTGAAACAGTGGCACACTTCGCATAAAGGTGCGTAAAAAAAAATAATACTTCAAACAGAATATAATACACTAAAGAAAACAAAGTATAATACTCTTATTTATTTTTTTGGCAAGGTCTCCACTGCCTTTTTAGTTTATGTATAATAAAAAATATGGGCATAATATTTTGCAAGCGTTTGTTTGTTCCGCTCGAACTGGCATTCGCTCGAGCTCAACTAACACCGCACACCGCGCTCGAAGTGGCTTATGAAATCGTCTGTCCTTATCTCTACTGAAAATTGTATATTTAGAAACTTATTTTGTATATTGTTAATTATCTGTGATATATATTATTAATATAAATATTATTTTTATTTTATAAATATTAAAAGTTAACTTTAAGATAACAGGGTTAAATATTTAATATTAGCATTTGTTTTGTATAAATTTATACTTCGTACGTGACAACCAATTTGTTGCTATAACAAAGTTGTATTGTATTGTTGTAAACTATAAACCATGACTTCTTGGTTGGAGCAATTTTCGAGAGTGTAATATCATATCCAATATTACTAAGGTAGTGGATATTAGTAGATGACATTTTATTTGTGATCATATTTTTTGTTACGACAAGTGTTGGTAAGTGAAATATTCTGTAGGCCCAAGCTCCCGACACCGACTCGGCGACACCGTGTCAGCGTTTGGCTGGTTGTGGTGGTTACCGTCTCGGCCCCGGCGCGTACAATCAGGCTTAACTACGCCTGTCTTCATGATGACGACAGGGTTTTCTATTGTTGTTGGTGCTATGCCATGCCCCATTGTCATGTATTTGTTAATATGATACAGGCCTGGCTATTACTACTATTTTAGAAATGTAAACTTAACAAACGTAACCACGTTAGGCTCTTTTTTCCTGCATCTTTTTTGGCATGGAAACATTGCTAACTAGCGTAGAACTTTAAAATTAGCAAGAACCACCCACTATCATCACTTCAGCTTCAGTGACATTGTTGAAGTTGATTAATTTTCCAAAAAACGTTAGCCTAATTTAGGCATATAGTGTTTATTAAATTATTTCATCATCATGAATAAGGTGGGTAGAGCACGTAAAGTCGAAAAGAAACAGAGTCAGAGTGTGACTGAAGAAACAAAATCTGAAGAAGAATTTCAAATTGAAGATGATAGGGATTCCTTAGCAGACACACCTCTTCCTTGTATCAGCATTATTGATGAGGTATCAGCTATTTTAATATCATAATTATTCTTCACATTTTGCATACAGGAAACAACACAATATTTTTTAAAGTACTCTAGATGCTTTCTTTCTAATTTTGATGTTTTAATTTTTGTTTTTTCAATATATAAGGGCACATAGAAAAATTTATTTAAAAAAAGTAATGAGGGCAGGCATTTAAAAAAAAATCAGAACAATAGAATATTCCTTTTTTTATTTATGGGGGAGGGACTGTTTTTATTTGACAAGATTATTGTAAATATTGTATAAAAACTGGTTTAATTTTATTGTTTTTTTTAAAGAAAATGTATTTCCAGTCACAAAGTTACATTGTTTTTTTTGTGCTGTTAAAATAAATAATGTGGCAAAAAAAAAAAAATTTTGTTATTCCCGCATCAATATTTTTTCAAATTTTTGACTCGAGTGGGAGTGATATTCTAACAATTTTTCTTTGTGCTCTAATATATGAAATTTAAAATGTGATTAATTATCACTTCTTGAAACTACTGTTTTTATCTCTCTTGTTCAACCTCACATTTTAATAATATTTATGTTTTTTCCCCCCAAAGGTTAATTCAGTTTTGAGTAGTGATATTTCTGGATACAGGATGAATAAGCGAAGTAAAGTGCGTGTGTATGTCCGCACCAGACCAACAGACAACTTTGCTCATGACATGATTGAGCTCAGTAGTGATGAAAAGGTACAATTCATAGGAATTGGCATTGAGTTTTGAAACATTTATGTGGAAGGTTAATATTATTCACAAAGTGTAAAATTATCCACCCTTGGCTTGATGTCAAAATACAAAATATGAAATAAATAAAAACAAAATTAAATGCAGTCAAACCATGGAGGAATTAGTTTGGTCTAACCAATCAAGTTTTGTAAGGCATTAGTAAAATATAAGGAATTACAAAAGGTACTATTTATTGGAATTGCTTCGTGTTCTGAAATTTTTATTTGAATGGTGAATATTCTCAGGAGTAAAATTATCCACCACTGTTTTGATAGCAAAATATCAATATAAAACACATAAAAACAAAATTAAATGCAACCAAACCAATAAAATTTTGTAAGGAATTACAAAAATAAATTAAGGAATTACAAAAGATACTATTTATTGGAATTGGCATTGTGTTCTGAAATTTTTATTTGGATAGTGAATATTCATCTGCCGATTAAAATTATCCACTACTGTTTTGATTCCAAAATATAAATATGGAATAAATCAAAACAAAATTAAATGCCATCAAACAAATCAAATTTTATATAGATTTACTAAAATAAATTAAGAAATTAGCATCTGTTTAAATCAGAAAAATTGTAAAAGAGATTATCACCGATAATTTTCATAATTAGAATCCATTTTTTTTTTTTTCAATTTTTAATATAACCATTGTCTAGTCATTTGGCATGAGGAAAAGTTTTCTGTTGCACTGAAACGTTTAAACAAAAGTATATTTCTTATATTGTTGCAGGCCGTAGTTATTCATGCTAAACGTGATTCGAACCAAGGAGTTGTTAACAATCAAGTAATGGATTGGTCTTTCAAGTTAGATGGTATCCTTCACAATGCCTCACAAGAACAGGTGTATGATACTGTTGGTAATGAAATGGTCACAAACCTCCTGAATGGTTACAATGGTAAGCAGACAGACAAATACTGTACATTTAATGCCATAACATCCTACCAGGTAGTCATTTATACTCCTAGGTAGTGAGAGGCATCTGGAGGTCGGTGTACCCTCTGATTCTGAAACTCTTCTAACGGTGCGTTCGGGTGAGTTTTTTGTGGCGTCTAAGACGTGATAACTCCGGAAACAGCCATTTCCAGTTCTGGATAATACAGGTGTAAAACGCGGACTGCCTGCTGATATCCGCTGATAAGCCAACGCTGCAAATTACAGTGTTTAAAAGGAGCAAAAACAGCATGCGTTAGCAGCAGGGAGCATTTTTTATCACTTTTCCCTTTTCGATTGCTCTTATAATTGTTTAAGCATGCACCAGAAGTAAAGTCTCGTTTTAATTTTCCTGGTTCATGCTTATTTAACAGTTTAATTATTTCAAAGGAGGGCTAGCCTAGAATGCAGATTGTTACCTTATTACATTCGTTTGGCAATGGTAGTAATTTGCAGTTTTTAAATTTTCAAATGAATGAAAGTTTATTCATGGTTTATATGCCCAAAATGCACATCTGCAATTTATTGGGAGTTTAGCAATGTAAGCTCATTATTTTGTAGTCATTTCATCTTGATTTTGAGACAACATTATGCTGTACCAATTAAAGCGTGGGGTGATGCAAGGGTCCATTCGGTGATCTCGAATTGGAGGGCGAACTGTATGTGCCTTGGACACAAGCAAATCACACAGTGAGAAGTTTGAACAACCCACTTAAAGGTTAACAACCCAAACTTTAAACCATTGTGCCAAATTCTCCCACATTTTAAATATGATATTAAATTACACAATAGAACTAATCATAGTAGTAGTTATTCAGAAGGTCTGTATAGTTCATTCTGATATTACTGTATTTTTGATGAACTAGTTTACATCTATTGTTCTATGCTTTTGTAACTTTGTTGGTCTAAATTTATCCTAGTTAAGTTTGTCTGTCAACAACTTGGGATTATTGATCCATCTTAAAGTAATCAATTGCAAGTCTTGTTATTACTATACAATTATTTACTTTAATATGAGCAATTTGAGTAATACGCAACAAACAATAGCTATGTTGACAACTACTTCCAGTCCATTGCTTGTACAATATTCTTGCAGTGTTGAAAATATTGATGTCTGATATATCTACTTATTTCAGTGGAAGGATTATGTGGCGAAGATAAGCCAAACTAGTCACACCTTGAAAAAAATTTATCTTAAGTTACTAATACAGTGTTAAGCAATAAAATAAAATATATAAAATTGTAAAAATAATCATTTAAATATGACATTTCATTATGAAGTTACAAGAGTTTAAACCTACAGCTGAAATCAGCCCTCAAATTTCATGATTTTTAACTTTTTCTCAGACCATCACCAAATCATTAAAAAATTTTGTTTTAATGTCGAAAATAACAACATAGTGTGATGTATAGATATAATTATAAAGGTTAGTTTAGTGCAATAAAATAAATGACATTCCAACATGGTCATTATCTCCAAAATAGGATTTGCAAGAATGACTAGTTTATGATCATATGACATATGATCTTAAGTTTTATGCTGTATTATGCTTATTTTTAGAAACCTGATCTTTAATTTACAAAGGGAAACTAGCCAATTTTCAATTTATCTGCATATCACACTCATAAATTTAACAACATCACTCATGATTTGGTAATTCCCTTCACCTGAATTGATAAAAAAAAAAAATACATACTATTGATTCACTCATCGCAATATTTAATTTCATAAATAGGTACACTGCTTTGTTATGGACAAACTGGTGCTGGAAAGACGTTTACAATGACAGGTGCCACAGAGAACTTCAGACACAGGGGTCTGATACCAAGAGCACTTGCACAGGTTAGAAGACAAATATTTTTATATCACATACCCTGCCAGGGACGCGAGTTCACGTCCGACAGGGTTCACTCAGGCTGCCAAGAAGGACGCGAGTTAATGTTCACACCTGTCTAAACGTACCACTATTGTATTGCACATGAAATCACTGGTAGTAGTCACCAAAATGTGAACTCTCTCCCTTGAGGTTCAGGGAAGAAGCCAGAAGTAATGATCTAAAAATATATACCATGTGTTTGTTTGTCTTTCATTACAGTTGATGGGAATGCTTTTTGTTTAATGGTGGTGTCCTTTACACCTTGGTGTATGAGATGAAACTGGAGAAAAAGGCTTGGCATTCAACATGTTTAATACCTGAATAAACTTATATCATAGTGGTTACATGCATTTTTTTTTCCTGCATTAAAAAAAACAAACCAATAGAATCTTAGTTCCAGTGTTTTTTGTGGAGCCGTGGCCTAGTAAAAAAAGCCAATGGGCTAGTGAAATGTGCAGCAAACTAGCCCAGTGGGCTAGTCACCAAAAGAAGTTAAATCGAGCCCTGTACATCAACGTACATAATACAACATTTCTGTTATTGCATATTAAAATTTTTTTTAGGTTTATCGGGAGATTGAAGAGCGTCAAGAGAATGCTGTCACAGTCCGAATATCTTACTTAGAAATCTACAACGAGATGATGTTTGATTTGCTGTCAACGTTGCCCGATGCTATGCAGTACGCCCCACAGATGACCATCTTGGAGGATGAGTTTGGTATCAACATCAAAGGCCTAACACAGCACTTGGCTCACAATGAGGAAGAGGCACTTAACCTTCTGTTTGAGGTAAACTTCAAAATTAAATATTTATAGGGCTACCAATAAAAATGTGGGTTTGTAGATGTAGTCCTGTGCCACCATCCATTAAATGTACCTTACAAAATGCCTCCACCACCGAACATTATTTGTACACAGAGTACAAACAGAAGTGGTCTGAAAAAATAAACCAATTCTCAACAACATTTTTTGAACAGTCATGTAACCCCTGAGAGCACTTTCCCTACCATACATAGCCTACATACAGCATTGCCTTAATGTATTCTTTTCAAATCTTAAGGGTGAAACGAATCGAGCAATCGCAGCACACTCATTGAATCAGATGTCTTCACGGTCTCATTGTATATTCACCATCCACGTGGAGTCTCGCTCCCGAACAGATTCTACTGCCAAGTACATGAAAAGTAAATTTAACTTAGTCGATCTTGCCGGATCGGAGAGACTCAGCAAAACAGGGGTAAGATGCTGTAATTTAGAAAATATTTGGTGGAAGTTTCATGGTTTCATGAATACTTAAAAGAAGTTGTATTCATTCCCTTATGCCTGAAAATGTAAACATCCCTTGCTCTCTATTCTCTGATTGGCTGTGAAAAGAGCACATATTATATGATTTTGTATCTATTCTTGCTCACGCTGATTGATTTTATCGATAACCCAAGTTCTTCTGTCTTTCAATAGTCAGCCGGTAAGACACAGCAAGAGGCTATGTACATCAACAAGTCATTATCATTCCTGGAGCAGACAATCATAGCATTGACAGACAAGAGAAGGGAGCATATTCCGTACCGACAGACAAAATTAACACACGCCCTGAAAGACTCTATAGGTAAATATCATGACAATTGATTGCTTACCAAATACGTATCAATATAACATCTGTAACAATAAATATTGTGGAGTTATATCATGGTGTTTTTTCAAAAAATTTAAAGACAGAAAGGTCAATATTTTAAACACAGTATTTTAATTTACTTCAGGTGGAAACTGTAACACCATAATGATCGCAAATATATGGGCCGAAATGCTTCAGATTGAAGAGACTGTGTCCACACTACGTTTCGCCACTAGGATGATGTGTGTTGCAAATGAGCCAGCAGTTAACGAGTTCTATGATCCGGTTCTGCTTGTTAAGAAGCTTGAGAAGGAGATTAAACACTTGAAGCATGAACTAGCAATGCATGACACATTGGTAAGAGTGCCACTTACACAATATTAGAAAGAACTGTAGATAAATTCTACAAGCATATTATTTCATTTCATTATTAGTAATACTAATTCAGGTATGCCTATGTATTAAGGAAAATAAATCTTGACAGAAGCATTTATGATGGTTATAATGGTAACTTAGATAATGATTATTAAATAATTGACCATTGCTTTACTGCAGTTTAATTACTAGCTGGCTAATAAGTTTTAGGCTGCTTGGAGGAGGATGTAATCAATCGATAAGCTATCAATAAGGTCTTCTTCATAGTAAAGAAGTGAATAAAATAGAACATTATGTTCATTATATTGCAGCTGATAATCATTGCGCTTGTTCATACTTACGATATAGACGATAAAGGTTACAGCTAATGCAATTAAATGTGTGCCCCGAATCGGGATTTTTTGAAAAGACCTGTAAATCCAACATGCCAAACTAAGTGATAAAAGCGCCTGCGGGCATCCATCGCACAATAAATCTTCTTCAGTGTGTCAAACTTGTGTGTATTAGACAATAACTTTGTCAAGTATGAACGCCTAGAAAATCTACACCTCGGGCTACTAGGAAACACGTGTAGGATTATTGCTGAAAAAAACGAAGTATGAACACAGCCATTGTAAGTTGATCATCATCATCATAACCATCACCATCATCATCATTATTAAATGTCTTTGAACCCAATGATCATATAAAGAAGATCCTGCTTGGCTGCCTTTTCGTTACTACAGTACATCACAATTTCTAACCCATTATTCCTTTTTATAGGCAAACAGAGGCCAGGTGACCTACGAACCCCTGTCAGACTCACAGCAACTTGAAATCAAGAACCAAGTACGGCGTTACTTAGAAGGCTCCCTTGACGAAATTGATGTTATCAACATGAGGCAGATTCACAGCGTATTCTTAGCTTTCAGGAGCTTGGTGAACCAGATGGAGTCTGAAGTAGAAGGAAGACTCCGAATGAAGTATACTCTTATTGACAAGACGGATCCAAACTCCATTGCTGCCGCCCAAAAGGTTAGTTTTGTTTCAGCTTATTTTAGGTTTTGGTGATGGTGTACATTTTTCATTTCATATATTATTTCTTTTTCTATAATTGAAAGTACAATAACAACAACAATAAAGGTACTTTGGGGGTGAATGATTTGCTATTATTAAATGCGACATTAAAATTGTACATGGTATTTATGGAATGCTGCAGTGCTAAGCTAAAGACGAAAAAAGGATGATTGATATACGTCTACTTACCAGATACTCTAAAACATTATATTTTATCATTTTCTTTAGGCTGGTGTTGTGTTCGATGAGGAAGGTAATGCAACTTATGTTGGTGAAACAGATAGTCAGAATTTTGGCATTGGCGTTGCTCCTGCCTCTTTAAAGCCTACGCACTCAGCAGTCGTTTCAGCCACAAAGAGAGCAAGAAGCAAGAAAGGGAAAGAAAGGGCTAGGTTAGTATTGATTATTATATTATTTTATAAAAATAATTACATTTTCAGGTTTTTGCATTTTTATAAAAGAAAGATATATTGAAGAATATTTCTGTAAAATATCAATCACTAATTCTAGCTTTAAAGTATATTAAAATTATTTTTTAAGCTATAAGCCTTAGTAATAAACTATTGATTTTGGAATCTTTGGAACTGTTTTCTCAAAACCTACATGGCTGATATCTAGTGAATTAAATATTCAATACGAAGAATTCATGCAGAAGCTAAAAATATCAAAAACACAAATTTGAATTTAACTGTATCATATCGAAACTGCATAATAAAGATCATGTTAACATCACATTAATTATTCACTTGATATTTCACCATAATTACCCATTGTAATGTCAACAAACACAATGGCCACTTGTCACTAGATGTTTACTATCAGTGCACAGAAATATGAGATTCATTAGTTTTACCATATCTATTGATTATAGACAGGTATATATCATTGAATTATACCTGTCTATGATCATGCTATGTACATTATTCTAAGTACATCAATTCAGACGTTATAACACAAATATAAATACAAACTGCATAAAGATACTGTACATATCAATATTAGTGTTGTATGCCATAAGGACAGCATAGTATAGTTACTTCAATTAGGATTCACAACAATATTAATAAGCCTAAGTTCCCCTTTAATAATTTCAAAGCATGTAGGTTACTTACATATCATGGAAAACCAGATACTATAAATAAGGTACAGTAATAGAATTGGCTCCAAAATCTAATCTCCGTAAGGGACATGATGCCACATGGAATGCAAATTAGCATTATGTAATAGCAGCACACAGGTGTATCAATACATTATGCTAACAAAGTTACAACAACAATAGATATAATTATCGATCAGAAGTACGTAACTTTCCAATCCATGACATTACTTTAATGTTTGCAGTGAAGTAAAAGCAATTTGGCACAATGGAATTTGGTTTCCCTAACCTCAAAGTCGTGTTTCAATCCCATTCTGTGCATGTCGCTTGTACTGAATTTAATTTATTTTCTTTAAATTGTGCCTTATATATCAGTAGTGACAATGTCTTCTCCAAACTTGTTAGTCCTCAGCCTGGGAAAGGTGCAAGTCCAGCACCCAGTACCCAGCAGACAGAGCGCTCTACACCTCCAAGGATACCCGTTGACACACGTGACTCAAACACAAGAGTGGAGTCTGGTTCAGCTAACGGTTCCATACGTCCAGGGTCTGATTCAGCTCAGCAACAACCTAGGCCTAGCACGCCACCACTACGGATTGTGGCTTTTGAAGACTTCAAGCAGGAGAAAGGCATTGAGATCAATAGGATACTTGTAGAAAATAAAGGTGAATATATGATACATTCAACTGACTTTCTTTACGTATATACCACATCGACAGTCAGCCAACAAATTTGCTCACTTTCTGTTTGAGCCCCAAAGTAATGCCAATCCGAGTGGATTGGCGTTGAAAACGATGCAACATCAAGCCACAGGGTCATGGAAAGCTCCTGCTGTCGATGCTGATGAAGTGTGTAAAGATTTTTGTTATTAGCGATTATTAATGTACTAAATATATATAAAGAAATAATTAAGGTGGTGCTGTTTAGTTTTAAAATACAGGAATATGCATGTAGTAGACAGGTGTTAACTAATATAACTACTAATAAGCTTGATTAAAAATAACCATTTAAATTTTCTATTTTTGTTCAGAAATTCTTGCTAACAAGAAGAAGGAGTGTCGTGAGCTGGCGAAGGTAATTAATCTGACAAAGCAAGAAATTGACAACACAAGAATGACAATTGAGAAAATGAAAACAGACAGAATGGAGCAGGGTAAGTATTATGTTAAGCCCTGCCTAGACATGTGACATGCCTAAATATGGTCATAATGATATTGCATCATGACCATAAATACATTACTTGATGACCTATATTATAGGCTCATCAAGGGCATACAACAGTTTTTTTGTCAAAGAAAATTTCATAGTGAGGACAGAGCCTAATATGTTTACTCAGTATCAAATTTTACGTAACAAATTTGCGTGATTCGCCCATATACGTGTATGATGATATTATATCACACCCATATATGGGCATTATTTTGTCATATCAGACCCATATATAGAGACACCACTGTTATTTGCCATATAAGTCTGGACAATAGGGACAGAGCTTTAGGACTGTTAAACTCCATGTACTGTAATGATAATATTTCTGTTGTAATTATGCAAAACATTTTATATTTAGGAGCGGATTTGGCAGGCTCGGCCGCTGCACCCCCCCCCCCCTCCTTTTTTTTGGCCCCTCTTTCAAGTATCTCTGGATCCGCCCCTGATATTCATCATTTCTCCCATATTTTTTCAGTAGAAAATATACACAAAAACAAAATAAATACAAAATGGATATAGTTTTATCATATAATTTTTTTTTTGTAATCTTACAAATATAGTACAGTATTGTTAATTAACCTCAGTGTTTAATGTGCACCTTGAGTAATACCATTTTCATAGCACCACTGCATCCATTGACTTTTGTTTTTACCACAGGTGAATTTATGAGTGAAAAAGGAGAGACAGTAATCAGTGAAGAAGAGTTCCAGTTAATTAAAAAGTTAAAAGAACTGAAATCATCTTATCGCAGTGACTATGAAGAATTACGCAACATAAAATCCGAAGTACAATATTGTCAGAAGTTGGTAGATCAATGCCGACAACGATTGATATCAGGTAGTCATAATGTTTTATTTATTTTAAATCATATTTTCAAATTATAGTATTTTTTTTTAGCTTTTATCATGTAAAATGTTCAATAGTAATTTACTGTATCTATTTGACAATCACATTATTATTGGTTGTGATTATACACATTTCACACGATAAATATTGAAAAAACCTATAAAAAAAAATAGATTGTGTACACAAGCCTTTGTGAGACAAAATGTGTTTGTTGAGCTGTATTGATTGGTTAGTTAAGTTTGATTGACACTTCTGAAAGGTTGAGTGTATAAACTTTAATTCCTATTTTTTATGATTATCAACTCAAAATATCAAGACAGTGAAATCCTCTTCAGTTATGTTCATTAATTACTAATTTATTGTATCATAAAATCTGTGAAATGTATATATAATATTTAAATATCAGTGAAATATTAATGATTATTTTTCATGTTTTTTCCTGGTAGAATTTGATAACTGGTACACTGAATGCTTTTTGTCAAGTGGCGAAGAGGTGACATCCAGTAAGCAAGCAGGATTTGGCATCAGACCCGGTACTCAATACAACAATGTGGTTAGTAGTCTTTTTCAGCATGTAATGTGTATAGTAGTTAGATTTTTATATTGCACTTCATATCAAAATCTCAAAGTGTTTGAGGTGTGTGGGCAAGCTTTTACTGTAACTTCCTTCTCCCCAAAGGCTTTACTTCGTGTTTGAGGTAAATCTGTAACTCTCCTTTGTACACAACAGGGGGTGTGTGCACATGTACACCGGGGGACCCCTTACTCATTTCGAAAGTTGTATAGGATTGTGTTTAGTGTACATGAGCCAATTGTTTACACTAGGCCTATATGGTTTTTATCTGAGAAGACCACCATAGACGAGCTTTGAACCAGCACCGATAACTAAATATATCATTTATTATATGTTTTTTCTGAATATTAATGAAGCGTTACTAATACAAACATTCTATTTTTAGCCCGAAGATGAAGGTGAGAAGTTTGACAGACTACAAAAAGAGTTGTTAATGGAAAATCCTGACTCCGCAGCCTACTACAATGCGCGGTTGAGAACTGTTAGGAGGGTAAGTTCAAAGAATTCGAATTCTTCATAAAAGCTAAGCATGTAAACTCACAACATATAAACTTTAACATATTTATTGTTCAAGAAATTCATTCTTAAATTCAAAAACCTTATGAACTGAGCAACTTTTATATACACTTTCCTTTAATTTCATTGGATATGTATATCTCAGCCACTCATAGAACTTGTTCACTAGGTTTACATTAAAACAAACATAGAAGTTTTAAGACAGACATAACATTTATTGTATTCATCTGCACTACCAGATCTTAGTAAATACCTGCCACATACCTTTTTCCAAAATTCTTATTGGTCAGAATAGAATAGAGGAAATAGTTAGCAGTGCTTTCGACCATTGGTAAACTTGTCTGTTAGCAAGATTACTCAAAAACTAATGAATTGATTATCATAAAATTTAGTGGAATGGTACATAATAATCAAAGAAATACACCATTAAATTTTCAGAGTAAAAGGTCAAAGGAGGACGAAGTCAGGGTCACATGAATTCAATTTTTTACCCTTAAGCATAAAAGAAAAAAATGGAATTGTCCCACATTTTCAGGCAGCACTTAAAAATACAATGTGCCTGAATACGACGGGCAATTCTATTATTTTCTTGAGGGTATTCTGCAGCACTAAAGAGAATAATGTTCCTGTATACGACTGGCGATTCCATTATTTTATTGAGGGTATCCTGCAGTTTTGCCTATTATACATAGCTAACGTATTGTTGGTACTGTATTCATACACAGGGCAGAGATATGCACTCTATGGAGTGACTGCTCTGGTTTCATGACACGAGGTCCTGATCCATATCTTCAGATTGTAGTGTTATGTTTATTATACTTACAAATAAAATTTAGAAAATATTTTAAAGATTAATGTTTGTTTTTATTGTTTACAGCACACCCTCGAGGAGGCAATGAATCAGACGCAGCCAAAGCACCGCTCAAAACCATTGGGGGCACCAACACGAACAGTGCGTAACACACCGCCAAACAAGATAACCATGGTGCAGAATTGATCAACCATATGCAGATTTTTTTTGTCTTTGTCAATTCAAATAGAATTGAAATCATATATTTCTTCTTAGCTGGGATATTTTATCTAAAGTATAAATTATAAATTAGTAATCTTGCAATAATTATGTTACTATTAAATCATGTTGGGGAAACTCATTGAAGGGGTATTGTTATTTTTTCAACAATTTAAGGTAGTGAAGGCCAACTATTTTGTTATTCCTCTGTCAAATCTGCATCATAATCCAGTCTTTAAGCTCTGGTTTTCGTAAAACCACTACACACTGTTGACGACTGCTTTCAACAATGCTGATTGGTCAGTTGAATCAAGGAGCCTTCCTATTTGTGTCGGAACCTTTCTGCTAAGCCCCGTCCCGTGGACATCAGGGAGCTTTCGATTTCACGACAATTTGACGCTAGAACGGATTTACTCATGCGTGAGCGTCTTGCGTTCTCTGCACATTGTAGATTTGGTCAAATTCCATCCTAGAATCTACACGACGAGAAACGTTCTTGTATGCGTAGATGAATTATTAGTGGCGTCATTACGTTTTACTTTCTACTGCGTCATGCAATTGAAAGCTTACTATTGTTGCCATGGTCCCACAAAATGACAGCGTAAAAGCATACGCACACATGTGCGTTTGTGGAACACGTGTTTGTAGGACACATATTCCTAGGCCTGTTCTGAATGGTCAGTTGTTATTTCAGTACAGCAGCTAAGGGTCACCATTGTGGTGAATAAGTTTAACAGTTTTAATGTATTTTAATTTTTGGTAAAGGGTCTGTTGCCTGGATATATTTAAAATTAAGATGAAATATAGTTTCACTCTACAGAAATATCCGAGAGAAGTTTTGATTGTTTCTTCATTCTTGATCAAAATCTTCTTCTGTTGCTGTTGAGTGTATCAATGTGTTCCATATGAATGCTTTAAAAAGTAGTGTTTACTTCAGATAGAAATTGTGGAATTAAGCATTAAATTTATATTATTAAAATGCAAGTGTATGGCTTCCCAATGGATAAAACTCAGGCATAGATCTCTGGAATAAAAGGTGTTTTTAAATTCAAATATGGTTAAACTTGCCTAAGTTTAAAAAAATTTCCAAGTCGATGCCAAATTGTTTTCCATTAATTAATTATCTGTACGACAAACTTTATGTAAGATGAACAGTTTTTCAATGCCATTTTGGATTCGACTTAGGCAAGTTCAACTATAATTAGAATTGATAAATAGAAATGTAATTATTTTTTTATGCTCCAAAAATCAATTATTATTCTTACAATCTACATTTTTTGACATCTTCCATATATGGGCACAGGGATCCCAAGTTGGAAGAAACCACTTCTTAGAGGTCTGTTTAAATGAGCATCTCATTTTATTTTGTGATACCATCAGCACTGATGTCTGGGAGAGATAATATACTGTAGTAAAAACATGCAAATATCGTGAGGGAGATTGTTTTTCTTCAGGAGATTCTTCTTGCTTGTGGGAGTGCGGGAGACCAGCCTAATTTCTGGGAGACTCCTGCGACTTAAGGGAGACTTGCGACTCCCATGATACAATGTTTGTGGGCAGGTTGTAATAGGCTGCGGTGACATGACAGTAAAACAGATGAGCAGGATGTGCTGGAGTTGATCTCCTTTAAATGTTACCATGAATATGTGTGAAGTTCATAGTCTCTTTTAAATAGTAGGTGAATAGCAGGTGAATCGTAAAACCTTACATTACCTAATTTCTGGACCACAAAAAAAAAGGAATACCTACATAGCTGTTACATATCATCTGATGTTTTGTATAGAGAAATTAAGTCAAGTTTGTGTTTGTAAATAATTGTAAAGTGAATCTTTTGTAAATGTTTATTCCTTTATCAAGAACTTCCTTAAGTGTCTTCTTCATATTGTTCTTTTGTAAAAAACCCAAAGATGTCAAATATGGTGTTTGAGATGTTTGCAAAAACAATAAAATAATTGGAAAGAAACAAATGTACTATATTTTTTCTTTGTTTATTTATTCAATATTAACAATTAAATAATATTTACAGAAGTAGTCAAGTTTTAGGTCTAAATGTACATTATAGTTACTTTTACCAGAGGCATATCAAGGAGTATTGAATTGGGGAGGGCTAATAGGGGGATCAAAGGTTAACTGGGGATCAAAGGTTAACTGGGGGAAGGGGCATCGATGATAAGTGAAGGGGTCCTTGTTGAAAAATGAGGTGATATCAGGTGAATTTAATTACTGTACTTGAACTTAATTTTTTCACTCAGCAAATTTCCAGTGGGTGGCGCAAGATTTTCTTGGTGATCGAGTCCCTCCCACGCCCCCTGTCGATACACCATCAAGTTCTATTATAATGGAAATTATATGCAAAGGATTATAGAGGTAGAATGCACATATATTCTATTTGCTGCTGTCTCCAATCTGATCAGGTGCTACAGCATTTAAACTGTCTATGTGTTGTACATGTTCTTGTATCCATTTATACATTTTATCTGCACCATGTTCTGCTTCTAACTCTTTTCTTTGTTTCTCATTCCTTTCCACCTCAGAATTCATCCTGTATAGATAAATTAACATTTATTAAGTAACTGGAAAACAAATTCTGCAAGTGGGGAAGGGGTGTGTGGTGAGAATAAACCCATAAACTAGCCTGGCATCATACAACTACGGTAGGCCACTGTGCTGAAGGCTAGACTTGAAATTGAAAATAGAAAGTTCAGATAATGACTCCAAAAAGTAAAGTTAATACTCTAGTGTTCAGGTCCATAACCAGGATTATCAATGAATGGTATTTTAGCCAGAGTTCCATGGCACCACCTATGTAACGTACGCACCCTAGTGGAGCCCAGGGGAAGTGCTCTTGTGGGGTCAGGGGAAAAGCCTAAGAACCCAGGAGCTGAAGCATTCTAGAATGTAAATGTTGAATTTCATCACATTTTTTTTGGTTTCAGATGCAAGTAGAGGGGTGTTTTGGTCAGACTGGGTTGAACAAAAAATGGGTTTGGCCATATCACACTGGTTACAGTGGCCTATTGTTCAACTGAATGTTAGCAAAAGAGATAAAAATAAACAAAAACACAAGTCAGCAATATTGGTCAAATATAATTTTATAAGGGAGAGCTTGTAACTTTCTGGTTTATAAATGATTTTGGTTACATCAACACTAGATGGGTTTGGCTTGCTACAAAGTAAATAATATGGGACAGTCCCCACTGCGGAACAGTCCCCACTGCAGTACAGCCATGACCAGCTGCTAAGAGACTGACTGGAGACTGATAACACCATCACTTACCTTTTGCTTTCACTCATGGCTCGTTCAAAGAACTTTGATGATTTTTCTGGTGCAACATCACTGAACTAAGTGAAAGAGCACAAAACAAAGGAGAAAAAAATAAGACCACTGAAATAATATAATATTGCAACAATGAACAGTGGCAAAGACAGACATATCATGTCTCTCGTCGCAAATTGTGTTTCAGCGATAATGGCCAAAACATGCTGGCATCTCAAAATTTTAAAAATCTATTTTACTGCACTAAACTGAACTCTATATAATACATCATCATGCTATTTTGTTATTTTCCCCATTTTCAATAAAAACCAACAATTTTTATGGATTTGGTGATGGTTCCACCTGCCTGAGAAAATTCCTGAAATTGTAAACTTTGAAGGCTGATTTCTCAAATATTGTTCTTTCAACAATGGAATGTTTAGACTCTTGTAACTTTATGTAAGAAAATGTCTGATAGAAATGATTCTTTTACTATTTCATAGCTCTCATTTTTTTTGTGAGGAATGACTAGTTTCTGGTTTGGCTTGTCTTTGCCAAATATAGTGGGCATGTCACTATTGACATGATGCTGTCACAAACTAGCTTGCAATTTATCAGGTGGTGTTATAGTGGGGCACAACATACTTAGAATAGATAAGCGAGTAGCGCTAATAAGAGCTAATTTCAATATACGGCCCCCACCCCACTACTGGATCCATTCCTGTTACTATTCATTAATTTCATCATACTATTATAATCGCATCATTTTGTTCCCCAGTAGTAAATATTTTGTGTCTATGCCCCCCTTGGGGCAAAGACAAGTCTTATGATCTGGCAATTTAAGATGGCAGAAAGGGTAAATCTGGTGGAGGTGCATGATGGGTCATGTATTATCTTAATAGATGTAAGTACTGTACCTTATACAAAAGTCAGACAGACATACAAAAGTTATAAAAGTACAATTTAAACACACATGGGAACCAGTCAATTCGAGCGGATACCACTTCGAGTGAATGCCAGTTTGAGCAGATTCAAGCAGAATTGACTTCGAGCAGATGCTAGTTCGAGCGGAAAAAGATACACTCATGCGAACAACAACCTTTGCGAGTTATGTAGGAATTACTTAAATATTTCCTATTTTGAGCTAACAATTGCATTTGGCAGAGGCTCAAGCTTTGCCTGGGATCCAAGGGGAAAAACCCCGGTGGGTTTCGGGGAGAAGCCTACAGCCTTATGTATGGAAGTTGTATTTAATTGATTTTTAGGATAAACATACCTACATTCATAAATTAATGATTTATCTCATCGTGTCATTCGTTGCATTCTTTCCACTCGCTTTAATTAAGAAAAGTTTTGAAATATAGATGAATGGTGAATAGTGTGGAAAATTTATATGATGTCATGTCCAGTGTCATTATTACTCTACTGTTGATAGTTTTGTCACACTACACCAAGTGATTTGTGCACATTCTGACACCTAGATATGTAAATTATATAATTCAAATTTCTATGGTGTGGTGAATAACAATTACAGTTACTCCCATTTACAAATATAATCGTAAATTTAGGGACTAAAAATACAATTACAACATAATTCAATTCAAATATAATTTGCTTTTTCAAATACAATACCCCAACTGGAGACAAAAACTGTGAATTCAGAATGAAACGTGCACAATTTAATAGGCCTAGTTTTAAAATATAGGCCTAGGCTTCCATTTCAGCAACCATCTGGTAGTTGGATTTGCCAAGACTGTAATTAAACATGGAATAATTATCAAAAGTGCCAAAAACATTTCAGAACTTAGTGCCACAGGGTTTTTTTGCATTTAAAACAAATGAAAGTACTATTTCACTATAAGAATTGAGCGTCGATAAATTTGCCCTTGTTATAGTTTGCACTAAATGCATCTGCTCGAACTGGCATCCGCTCGAACTAACATAATATGCTCGAACTGACTGGTATTCCTACAAATTTCCTGATAACTGAATCCCATGTGGATAGTGTATTAGAAACATAATAACAGTAAGACACAGTTTTTATTACTCCAATAATACTTTGGAATAAGTGAGCTGATTTTAAAGTTGATTTTTATTCTTTTATTATTTATACTATTTTTTCCCTATTTTTCATGGGGCCTACATCTTTAATTGCTTTAATTATTTTGATATTATTCAGGGCTACAAGTGTAATGTGAGAATTAATTTTTTTTTTTCACTTGGCATTCCTCTCTATTTCAATGTTTCTTGTCTTTTTGGTTTGGGCTTTTTAATTTTTAAATTTTGATTTTATTATTTGGATTAATTTAGGCCTCAGATTTCCAGTCTTAGCTAGAGAGACCTATTAATAGGTCCATGGCTAGAGAGGAAGCTCTGGCTGAGTAGAGTAGTAGGCTAGGCCCGCCTTAGCAGGGAGGAGTAGCTCTAGGGAACTAGGCTAGACCCTAGCCTAGGCCCTGAAGAAGGCGGGTTTCCCAACAAGCCTAGGCCCCTAGGCCTAGCCAAGGCAGAGGATTCAGCAGTTATATTTTCCCCTTTAATTTTTTCGAATGTTGTTCAGAGTGACCTTACCTGTTGTTGATTGTTATAATGCATTGTTATAAAATCACCAATATCAATGTTTTTGTCATTCGCTTCCATGACTACCAACTTTTTGGGCTCAGGCCAAAGATATAGCAGAAGAATGAGCTGTTCCGCGCAGCGTGACCACTCACAATTTTTGATACCCAATGACTGGGTCGAAATTACCCAAGATTCAGCAAATATTGCCCAAAATTACCCAAGCTTCCTGAAAATGCATTAAATTTGAAAAAAATGTGTTTTTCGCATGTATAGTTTCCCTTTCAGTTCAATTTATAAACCATTTTTTGTTGTAATTGTTTGTGCTAATTATTAAAATTAATATTCATGAGGTGATAATACAGATAGAAAAATACGCCCTCAGTCGGCCAGTGTTGTCAGTAGATCAGTGATCAAGTTTTATTATGTAAAATGCATTACCGGTAATTAGGTAAGATCAATGGCAACGCAAATCACAAATAAACAATTCTGAACCCATGTTTATAGCAATTAACAGTCAATTAACAATGTTATGTGCACTTAGTTGAGTTTTGCTTACTTGAATGGACTGACATATACTTTGTTACTTCTTAATTCTTCCTCTATGACAAAAATATTTAATTTTCATAGTAAAAATAAAATACCCAAGGATTTGAACGGAATACCCAAGAACTCAAGACCAAGTCAAAATACCCAAGATCTTGGGTAAATATCCAAGCAGTGGTCACACTGGTTCCGCGTAGGCCTAAGTTATATACTCTTTGGCCTAAGTAATTTTATTGCTTCTCTTTTATATAACAGAGGCACAACCGTAAAGATGTGCAACAATAACAAAATCAGTAAAAACTTTATTACTGTGATTAAATATAGTAAGAACGAAATATATATAAAAAAAGGTTTACAAAAATAGTAGGCCTAATACTGATGGTACTGTACTTGTAAAGAAATACTAATACTAATATAGGCCTATAATTAAGTAGGTACACATACACACACACATACACACACACACACACACACAAAACAAAACAAAACAAAAAACAGACATATTAGTCTTGCAATAGAAAAGTAGGCCTATTATATATTTCGTTGATCGTTCTTTCCATGCCATCGTTAAAAGTAACTTACAATGATTATTGAAAACTTTACTTGCAATAGTATAATTATTAGGGTTTATACAATTTGTTGTTAAAATTTGATATTCGTAATGGATTTCTAAATCATCAAACAAAAGATGGTATTTAAGTTCATGGGAGCTTGATGTGAATAATTCCCAAAATATGTAAATTCTTTTTGTATAACTCCTCTTTAAGTTGGTCAAATATTAAATTTCTAATGTTCTTTAATCTGTACAATCAAATACAAAATGATTGATGGTTTCCTATGTCACACAGTCACACATAATAAGCATAAGCCTAAATTCCGAGGTAACCAAGATTCCTTTCTTCCTTCAAGAGGTAGTGAGTTGGAACGAGCTTTAAATTTTAAACTTGAAGCATGAAAGTTACAATTTTCTAATAAATACTTTTCCATTTTAGGTTCACTTTTGTATCTTATGTAATGTTTTAAGGATGATTTACTTAAAGCATTGTTATACCAACTTATGTCTCTTTTTAATTATTTTTTTCTTTGAAGCCATAAGCCATTTTGTACAATATTCAATGTTAAAGAACATTTGTAAATCAAATTTATTTAAAATGGATTCAATATGTTGAAGCCATTTCCAACTCAGTTTTTCTATAAAAGAGAACTAGCAAAATGATAAAAAATAGTCAAAAAACGATTTTAAGGTTGATTCTATTATTAATGGCATATCAAAATCCACTCTAGAACAAAAAAATCATTTAAACTATTAACAACTTCTATATTCTCGATCTTCAGATGTTGTATGGTCGTAGATATGGCAAACTATTTTGTACCTTGTTTAGCGGACATGCCGCCCTCTAAAATGATGATTCGAATAAAACAAATTTATATTTGGCCAATTAGCACACTCACCGCCACGAAAATTGGAAATTTCAGAAGAAAACATTGTTGCTTTATTTTTATTTTTTGGGCCTACCATGTTGTTTAATACGACAAATAATAAATTTAAAGTGTTAAAAATGTTGTATATCGCAGGGAAATATGCAAAGGAGCGGAAATCAAGCTTTAATTAGCAAAAATCTAATGATGGTCACCGAATGGGTATTTTATAAACCGAGAGAAAAAATGGAAAACAGATAGGAAAATTCATAACTGTAACTGTAACACTATATTTGGGGTTTACATTTCTTCTAATAAAAAAAAAGAATAAAGTCATTCTAATCTAAAAGAACAATTAGATTGCACACTGTCGAAAAAAATATATGATCATATGCTAAGGTCTGCTAAGAGAAGCTTATCCGACATTAAAGGACGTTCCGCCCTTTTTCTGGAGGTTCCCCCCGCCCGCCCGTTCATTTTTTTTATCTAGTGATGCTAAATCAATAGAGAAACGTTGGTCCCTGAAAAAGGTCACGGGGGCCATTATTTTCACTACAAAATAAGAAAGAAAGGGGAAAGAAAAAGATAAAAGGAAAAGAAATAAAAATCGTAAGACAGAAAAGAAAAAGAATAACAAAAAATGAGACATGTGAAAGAAATGGAATGGAAGCATAACAAAGAAAAGGAGAGACTAAAACATAAAATGAAACATATATACAAAAGGAAACATAAGAAAGGAAAAAAGAAGAAAAGGAAACATAAGAAAGAATAGGAAAAAGATAAGGAAACATATGACAAAAAAGGAAAGTGTAAGAAAGGTTGCTTTATTTTTATTTTTTGGGCCTACCATGTTGTTTAATACGACAAATAATAAATTTAAAGTGTTAAAAATGTTGTATATCGCAGGGAAATATGCAAAGGAGCGGAAATCAAGCTTTAATTAGCAAAAATCTAATGATGGTCACCGAATGGGTATTTTATAAACCGAGAGAAAAAATGGAAAACAGATAGGAAAATTCATAACTGTAACTGTAACACTATATTTGGGGTTTACATTTCTTCTAATAAAAAAAAAGAATAAAGTCATTCTAATCTAAAAGAACAATTAGATTGCACACTGTCGAAAAAAATATATGATCATATGCTAAGGTCTGCTAAGAGAAGCTTATCCGACTTTAAAGGACGTTCCGCCCTTTTTCTGGAGGTTCCCCCCGCCCGCCCGTTCATTTTTTTTATCTAGTGATGCTAAATCAATAGAGAAACGTTGGTCCCTGAAAAAGGTCACGGGGGCCATTATTTTCACTACAAAATAAGAAAGAAAGGGGAAAGAAAAAGATAAAAGGAAAAGAAATGAAAATCGTAAGACAGAAAAGAAAAAGAATAAGAAAAAATGAGACATGTGAAAGAAATGGAATGGAAAGGAAGCATAACAAAGAAAAGGAGAGACTAAAACATAAAATGAAACATATATACAAAAGGAAACATAAGAAAGGAAAAAAGAAGAAAAGGAAACATAAGAAAAATAGGAAAAAGATAAGGAAACATATGACAAAAAAGGAAAGTGTAAGAAAGGGAAAGAAAAGAAAATGAAATATCGAAAGACATTGGTATAACTGTGGTTAAAAAATGAGAAGGTAAAGTAATAAAATTATGAGTCTTGCTACATTTTCTTCTTGTGATATGTATCTTGTTTTTTTTTCTCTACTGCTTGTTTGACACTGCCCAGCACCTATTTAGGTGGAGACGTTTGCGCTTTACAAATCTTTATTATTATTACTATTATTATTATTATTATTATTATTATTATTATTATTATTATTATTATTATTATTATTATTATTATTATTATTAATAGGCATATTATATTATTATAAGGCCTATTATTATTATTATTATTATTATTATTATTATTATTATTATTATTATTAACAACACGATAGTCAAACTTAAAACAATGATTAATTTAGTCTCTTTGCAAGTACACGACTTTTAAAATCAATCAAGAGATTTTTGCTTTTCTCCCCTTTTTAACTTTCACTTTTGTATTAGTAATATTGCGACTACACTGTTGTGAGTGGTGGAAATAATATCAGTCTATTGTCAAATAAAGCGAAATCATCTCGACCTGACAAAATAACGTAAAATTATCAGCCATACATATTGACAAATCAAAAAAGAAAAAAAAAACAAAAAACGAAATGGTTCTTCTTGCAACATTATCGTTCAAGAGCGAGAATAGTTTAGCAAAAGTGTTTCATGCTGACATTAACTGTTTTTAGGTCATTTTTTGTTTTTCCACAGTCGTATCAGGCAAATACTTGTCGGATTTTTGTATTCCCTTCTGAATTTGGAAGGAAATTCTTTTCTGATTGCTTTAGTATTTGTTTCAATTGTATTGCTTGAAAAGGTCACCGTCATTTTTCACTTTTCTATTGGTGCTATGCTGACCGCCCACCGCGCGTAAAGGCTGCATTTTGTCCTCTTTTTAGTGACTTTGTTTAAATTGCCATTTTGGCTGTTCACCAATCAAATATCTTGTTGTTTATTCCCCCCAGTAAACGGAAAGCTGAATATTCATAGATTCTTCTCATATAAAATATATAAATTGTAAATGGATGAAAAAATCACATTCAAAACACTAATTTCAATATGAATGAACAATCCTGAATATTCATAGATTCTTCTTATATAAAATATATTTATTTATTTAAACAATATTTTTTTAGGGTGGTCCATCCAGCCTGAGCTGATCAATTGGGACCCTCAGTACATACAATTAGAACATAAGTATAAAAATTGAACTTCATTTATCATATCACAAACTAATTAAATTAAACCAGAATATGAATTCCCATTGGATGAAAAAAACAATCACCATCAAAACACTAATTTCAATATGAATGAACAATCCTGTCTAGGCATTATGACCGCAAAAATGCGAAGCTTTGGTATAGGCTTCCGCCATTGTCAGAGGTCTGGAAGCGCTGGACTTCCCATCATCCACCATCAACTAAACTGCCTTAAAAAAAAAAAAAAAAAAAAAATTGGTTCGTGTGAGAATCGAACACACAACCACCAGGTTTGCTATTCATTATCCACCATCAAATAAATTGGCTTAAAAACAAAAAAAACAAAAAAAACCAAAAACAACAAAAAACAATTTGTTTGTGTGAGAATCGAACACACAACCTCAAGGTTTGCTATTCATTATCCACCATCAACTAAACTGCCTGGTAAAAATCAAAAATCGATTATAAATTTAATTCTACATTTTTAAACATATATACGAAGATTTTTTTCTAGTAGGAGCAGAGTTGATTAACTGGTACTTGGTGTGGTACTAGGTTTATCGCATTTATGGCTTAGGGGCCGCTGTTTACCTCCCTGCGTTTAGTCATGCTGGATCAGGGGTAGTAAACTCGGCGATCGTGGGTTCGATTCCCACACCGGGCAATTTTTTTTAAACTTTTTTATTTATTTTTATCTTTTAGTTTTTTTTTAAGGTCGTAGGTTCGATTCCCACACGAGTTGTTGAAATTTAAGCAAAAAGTTGTATGATGTTGAAGTTTGTAGCCCTCAAGCTAGGTCATGCCCGAGGTCCTTAGCTAGGCTAGGCCTATCCTCTGCTTCCTTTTGCTCTGGGCGCGCATGGGCGTACCTAGACTAGACCTATACATGTACTACTAATACTAGCTAGGCCTGGGATATTTTCTAATGATGACTTGCTTGGTTTTATCTGGCTTTTCTGTTCAGGCTATAGATAGGCCTACAGTATTTACCTTGTTCGAAATGATGATTTGATGATCTATTTAATATTTCTCTGTATACAACTAATAAGAATGTAGGCTAGGTTTTAAATCTCTAAACATTTAGGCCTAGGCTAGGCATAGGCCTATGTACTGTATAACTTTTCGTAAATTTCTCGATCGATGAAGGAATGGTTCCTAGGAGTTGGAAGGAAGCTCATTCATATAGTACCAATTTTCACGGTTGTAAATAATTTATTATCTGAACAACAGCATGGTTTCTAAGGGATTAGGTTCGTAGCGGCCGCGAGTCAATACACAGAAATTTGTGTGGAGCGCCAAGCGTGCAGTATGCAAAATGTATGTTGGACAATGGGCATCAGAGTTCGATATTAATACTGTTTTAATCAATTATCAAATTAATGTATATTTTCTTTCATAATTTATATATAGCCTATATATAAATCGAGACTTAATATTTAGTTACTGTAGTTTATTTATTATATCAATTATTATGATTTATAGTATGCCTATTTTCTTACAGAAACGGATGGTACTTTTTAAATGGCTTCTTTAGTTTATTTATTCAAATTTTACTAACTTGTGTTCAGTTTGTTCTTTAGTGAATGAACATCTGTTTGTCATTGCATTTGAAGATGATTGATATTTATTTGAGTTTTACTAACTTTTGTTTTGTTTGTTTTAGTGAATGAACATTTGTTATTCTTGTACTACTACTTTGAAGATGACTGATATTTATTTGATGTTTTACTAACTTGTGTTTCTTCTGATTACTAATACATAACCCATTATCAGTTGTTGGTAGAGTATTTATTATTATTATTATTACCTGTATTATTATTATTATTTTACAGAAGTCTACTATTAAATTAATTCTTAGCATCACACTTTATTATTGCTTAACATTAATACTATGTACAAAATTTCATCCTTATCTGAACATTTAATTATTGTTTTACTATTGTTGGCGTGCATTTTGATAGTAATTTGAAATTTGAAGAGCATATAAATATTTCAGTTTCTAAAGCTAACATAATGGTAGGTCTTATAAAAAGAACATTCATTTTAATAATGACAAGGACATGTTTTTAATATTATACAAGTCTTTAGTTTGTCCTATTTTAGAATTTAATTGTTGTGTTTGGGCACCTCATATAGGATTAATTAAAAAAATTGAATCAGTGCAAAGAAGAGCAACTAAGACCTAAAAAATTTTGTCATACACTGAAAGGCTGAAGTATTTAGGCTTACCAACTCTAGAATATAGACGACTCAGAGCAGATATGATTCATTTCAAGTTTTTAGAATTATTAATGGTCTCGACAATTTAGACATAAATAAGTTTTTTTTCATTTTCTGATAGTTCTTGTGAGACTAGAGGGCACAAGTTTAAGATATAAAAACAGGGCTAGACTAGATGTCCGGAAATATACATTTAGTTCTAGAGTGGTTGATGCTTGGAACAGTCTGCCATCTATTGTAATGGCAACTAGTTTAAATGAATTTAAATCTTTACTAAACGATCACTGGGTTAACCTAAATTGTAAATTTTCATTCTCGTATTTATAGAAAATAACAATAAAAAACTAATAACAAAAGTATTTTTTTCAGGAAGTACATTTTAGAGAACATATATTGTGACAATAATAATCATCTTATTTTCATTAAATTTTATGGGCTAAAGAACTTTCATTTACTGAAACCCCAAACGTCTATTGTTGATGAATTGTGTAAAAGAAGCTTATATGGGTCGTATAAGCTAAAAGCTTACCAAACGACCCAAAAACATCAAGCAAGTATCAAGCAAGTATAGGCCTAGTATGTACCATATTTCTGTATTTTTGGAAACATGCCTAGGTCTAATCTAAATGTAAAAAAAACTGGAACGTCATAGGGAAGTTGCCCCGCCTATAATAAATAGTGAGAAAGACTCTGTCTGATATATATCATAAATCTGTTCTTTTAAAAATTCACAAGATCATGAATGATGAGTCACACCCGCTACACTGTAAATTGAAACACAACCGTTCTGGTATTAGACTATTTGTCCCACGCTCCTCACAATGCCGCTTCAGGCAATCGTTTGATCCTGATGCCATTCACAAATACAACTCAATAGTTAAACGTATGTAATATACCTCCTTGGTAATTGCTTGCTGACTTACGATTAAGTGTATATGAATAGGTAATTTATTTTAATGTTTATTTAAGATAGTTAAGTCTTTGTTGTATAACATAAATTTTACTGCCAGTTGAAACAGAATTTCCATTTATCTTTTGTTACATGGACAATTAAATTATCTTATATCTTGTATCATGCCATAGTTAAATAGCCTAGAGGCCTAGGCCTAAGTAAATTATCTTTTTCCTCCACGCTGACAAATACCCTTTCCCTCTGGCAGTATTTGTAATACATTATTAAATATTGCTTATCTTTATTTATTGATTGATTCATTGCACAGATTGGATATGAACCTCTTCCGACAAAGGTTGGCAGAAATCTGTTTTTGCGAAGAGTTACCTTCTTGCCTGGATTTTTTGAATACGGTACGTGAATCTAACATCATGCATGTTTGGCGGGTAAGATAAGGCATTACGGTCGTCAGAGCAGGGTGGAAAAAAAGTAAAATAAAATATTGTTTTTTATTTAGCAAATAGTTTTGCCAAAAACATTCAGATGGAGGAGAAAATAAAAATAAAATTTTATTGGTGAATGTAAACAGTGTAGTAACGGGAAGGTTAAATGCTTTAAAATTAAATTTATATAATTTGGAAAAAAATATACATAATTTATTTTGGAGATTTCAAGGCAGCGCGGGCAGGATTAATAAAAATTTAAAAAAAACTTTATTTTTACTGAAATTTAAATTTTTTGTGGCGATAGGTGTGCCAATTGGCCAAAAATAAAATTTTATATTTATTCGAAATCATCATTTTTGGCGGGCGGCGGTTTCGCTAAACAAAGTATTAAAAAAGGCTCACCTTACTCATTAGATTGCTGTAACTGAGTTCTGAGGTAAGTTTATATCATCTTAATTAAGCCCTCTCCAGACTCAAATTTTACTTGGATAACTTGACTAATTGCCATTGTTCCCGAAATGGAACACCCCTTTGAATGAAATAGTTAACAGTCCAACCAAGGGTGCCATGTACGAACCATCTCCCTAACGGTCTTTGTGCTAGAGAGATTACCTACGAAAGCCATGTGCTTTTTCGAGAGAGAGTGTTTGTTTTAATAGCGAAAATTACTATATTTTCTCACGAAGATTGAAACGACATTATATCCTTTATATTGGTGCTTAGTCCTGTTTGTCTGACGCCGACGCGAGCTCACCATTTTCCCTGATACCATTGCCCTCCATCGGTTGGTATTGGGCTCATTTCCGATGTGGTGCCCTGGGACAGACTGTTCTATTTTACTCAAAGGGGTTTACTCTGAGATTTACAATACTGTACTTGTAAAATACAGTTAAACTTGCCCAAGTCGACTATGCCTATGTCGAATAATTTCTAAGTCAATCTTGTTTTACATACCAAATTGTTGTGTTTTCCATTAATTAACAATCTGTATGTCGAATTTTATCGAAGTCGAACAATATTTCAATGGAAATTGGATTTGACTTAGGATTAACTGTATACACAATAAATATTAGTAAATTATTTACAAGGCCTACTAACACTATTTGGCTATTATTACATATTTGAATATTATTAGTAATTGTTTATTACATTTTATATGTGGGATAACTGTGATTTTATTGTTATGTTATCATTTAAATTTAGTAAATTATTTACAAGGCCTACTAACACTATTTGGCTATTATTACATATTTGAATATTATTAGTAATTGTTTATTACATTTTATATGTGGGATAACTGTGATTTTATTGTTATGTTATCATTTAAATATTTTGTTGCTACAGCCAGACACATCAAGAAGGTTGATGGATTCACTGGGTTGTATCGTGGTCTCTACCCTCGCATATGTGAAAGTGTCATAGGCAATGCTGTATCCCAAGCAGTGCAAGAGGTAGGACTGGCAATTGCGGGGTGGTCTTGGGGTTTGGTTTTCAATTGTAGAGTGTTACTGTTAGCTGTGTAATGTGTACATAAAGATTGATAGTTGGTAGTTTAAAGGAGTGGTTTAGAATTAGAGTGGTCTTAGTGGGGTCTTAAATTGGAGGACAAACTATATTTGCATCAGGCTCAATAATAATGACTTTGAACCGAATAATGTTTGAATCTTGGAATACAACACTATATTATATACTGTATTTACTTAATTAATTTCCACAACTCAGATATATACAATATTATTTATCATGCCGATGTATAGTTTCCTTTAAAAGGTTCTGCTATATATGAGAAGTCTGCTTTTTAATATTCATATTCTGCAGAGATTGGATGAGATTTTCCCAACTGATGATTCCACGAAACAGAAGAAGCTGCGTGGACTTGTCAAGTCTGATGTTAAGACATTTTCAATTGAGGTTTGTCTTGTGGGATTGATTCTGATAGACCACTTTCAATGTTTACATTGCCCTGGCTGTTGCCACACTCTTTCACTTTCTTGGCCTAAGTGGGTGTGGTCAGGCATCTCTGAAAATCTCTTGGAAGTGATCCAGAGGGAAAATCCCTCAGAAACTATGACAATTTAGGTGATTCATAAGGCTTATTTAATTGATTTTAGTACTAATGTAGCACTAATGTAAAAAATAAATATATATATTTTTTTTCGCATCCCTGATTTGTGTTTTTCTCCAGCCCTGCCCCCCCCCCCCATTGGCACCACTCCTGCTAACATTGCACACTGGTAATCCTGATGTAATTAATTATATATTAAGTATAATTTGAAACTTTATTTGATATTATATTTATGTTTTTAAATTTCAGACATCCAAGGTTATGGTGTCCAACTGTGTTGCGGTGGTCATCAACCATCCATTCCACGTTGTAGCTATTAGATCAATGGTACAATTTGTTGGCAAGGAGACCGTCTACAGGTAGGAATGAATCTCATTTAAAAATAAATGTACAACAAACATGTCCTTTATTTTTCTATATTGAACATTGTAGCCCAAGTGTATTCAGGTCGGATTTTTATGCTTCTGCTGAAAAACCCTCCTTTTTGAGAGAACCCACTTCTGATTGACAAAGCAAACATTCCCTTTACATCAAAAACCTTCACAGTGATCATGAATTTCACCATTTAAATGATAGAATACTCCAACTTAGTTGTACAATAAGTAGTATTGTTATTTTATAGGATTTATATAGCGCACATATATCCAGAAAACAGGCGCTTTATTTCCTGGTTATTTGATACAGAATCAGTCACACACAACATGCAACCTCCTCTCCACTAGGAGTATTCCTAGTCATGCGTGTAATCAGCACTAATAATTCATTCCGAATCATTCACCTCCTACCAGGTACCCATTGATACTCCTGGTTGAAGATAGGCAAATGCAGATAAAATATTGTGCCCAACGACACAAGCAGTGTCTTGAACCCCTGACCTTCCGATTGCAAGTCCAACACCTTACACACGGTGCCACACGCTTCCACAAATGAGTCACAGCCAAAGGATGTTTACATTTTGAATATGCATTGATGGTTGAGCAGTACAGTACATGTTGAGCATGATTATCTTAGTTTTTTTCTTAAAGTTCTACTTGATTGATGATTGCCATTTTCAATCTACTTTATTTTCCAGTGGATGGATCTCACCTTTCAAAGAAGTTTATAGTTGAAAATTTATTTTTTACTGTTGATTTACTGATGAAAACATATTCTTCTTGCAGTGGCCTGGTTCCAAGACTACTTCTTGAAATTACCTCTCTATGGCTAGCGAGGGCACTCTACTACATTCTCAATAATTACATTCTTGATGAACAGGTGTGACACAAAATTTATTGCCTTAATAACTTTATAATCTATTCTATTCTATATGTGATAGTAATTGCTTAATTGTTTTTTTTCCAGACCAATAATATCACAGAGCTGAGGAGTTACAGCCGTGCAATAACTGGAGTAAGACATATATAATATTTTTTTATTTTACTGTAACGGCTTTGGATTTGTAGAGGGCATTTGTAGAGGGACATGAATGACACCATCTATTTTGTTAATAAGATGATAAAAACTTGCAAAAAAGAATATAAGTTTTTATGGCAATACATCTATAAATCTAATATTTTAATCCATACAACAAAACAAAGTAAATGGCTTATAAGATAGTATAATACATACTCCGAGTATCGAAATGCACGCCAGAGTATGTATTATACTATCTTATCTGAGATGAATCAGTGGACCTTTCGGTAAATTGCTTTTATGTTTTATAAAATTATTGTGGTCCACACAACTCTATATTTTTATACAGTAAAACCTTGAATAGAAGCCCCATGGGCTTAATCTTGAAAAAAGAAGTCCATCTCGAAAAGAAGCTCCCTTAAGAGTAATCTTGAAAAGAAGCCCAAGGGCTTCTAATGAAGATGATAATTCGCTTCATTCGAGATTGTACTTGCAATTCAGACTGATGTTTTTTTTTATGATTATGATAGCGTGTCAGTATCAATAGTATTTTATTGTAATAGCATGGTTAAAAATTTAAAAAAAATATTTAACAGAATTTCAAGTTCCATATTTGAAAAATGTTTTATATTAAGCAATTTCAAAATTAACAGCATTCATTTTGAAACAAAGTACAAATGAACATGTTTTGGCCCTATCCAGTGCAAGGCTGTTAATTAACAATTAACGTAACCATGGGAACGTTTACAGTTAAAGGTCTTTTTTAGAACGAGGTATTTCATTAATTATGTTCCTGAAGTTTACAAAATCATTGAAAAAAAAAATGGTCGGCAGCCTGTGCCGGAAGGATGGAGAAACCCTGCCGTACTTTGAAATTTGCTCTATAGTAGATTATAAAAATTTACATAGGCCTGCAGCATGGTAAATGTCCAAATACAGAGATAAAATTTACAACATAAGGCCTAATCATAATAGACCATATCAATAATAATTGGCCCAATAATAATAAATAATTATAAATAATCTTCTTCTGGCTGTCCATCATGTCCAATGATGACTAGGCGGTTAGTTCTGAGTGTTTCAGCCGAACATGCCGGCATAATCCCTTTCTGTTGCGAAAGGATTGTGTGTATAGAGAATAACCATTAATTAAATTAATTAATAATACAAGGTACACCTATCGAAGAAGTCTGTATTGTGTATTGTATATCTGTGCCTACTTCTTCACAGCTGAGATATTTATTTGCTGAACAACAACCCTTTACAGGCATGTACCCCACAGCACCATAAAATGCATAGATAAGAATTGTACGCGCATATTTGTGTTGCCGAGGAGAACATTCTACTCAAGTTCAACTGTAGGTGATCAACCCTACCTTACTTTACTTTTTTGGAATTCCTTTGCTTACCAACAGATTTTTTACATGTGAGAAAAACAATTTCCTACAAATGTGAGAAGCAGGGACAGATCCATTGCCTCCAAATTAAAGTTAAATAAAACTAAGTATACACTCAACTAAATAATCTTCTTCTTGATGTCCATCGTGTCCAATGATTACTAGGCGGGTAGTTCTGGGTGTTTCAGCTGAACATGCAGGCGTAATCGCTTTCTGTTGCGGAAGGATTGTGTGTAGAGAATAGAGCATAGCCATTAATTAATAAAACGTACACCCATTGAAGAAGTCTGTATTGTGTATTGTATATCTGTGCCAACTTCTCCACAGCTGAGATATTTATCTGCTGAACAACAGACCTGTACAGGCGTGTACTTTACCCTGCAGCACCATAAAATGCACAAATAAGAATTGTACGCGTATATTTCTGTTTCCGAGGAGAACATTCTACTCAGTTCAACTGGAGGGGATCAACCCTACCTTTCTTTACTTTTTTGGAATTCCATTGCTTACCAAAGAAAAACAGAACTTCTCACAAGCGTTAGTAAAAGAGACAGATCCATCACCTCCGAATTAGAGTTAAATAAAACTAAATATACACTCAACTAACATGCATTTAAAATTAGTACAACATACATGTTTTATAATCAGTCGTAAAATCGCCAACAATTTACTTTTGAGCGAATTGGAAAATTTTACCTGGGATGTCCTGGAATACTCCTGGAAACTTGCTTGATTAAAAACGTACAAACCCTGTCATAGGCTGATTTATAATCTTTTTTGAATATTTCGTATTTCAGTTCTTTGCAAGCATGATTACCTATCCCCTTGGGCTTGTTAGTAACATTATGGCTGTCAACAATTCAGGGTAAGTTGATAGTATTTTTTCTCTGTTTTCTTTTCATTGGATTTTTTTAATTATCCCATCTGACTGAAAAATAAATTACATTTTATATCATTTTTGTCATTGGAATCATTGTTGCCATTATAATTATAGTGTTCATCTGTGTTGATAAAGTTTGTTTGATGATGCTTGAGTAATAATTGTTTTGTTTTTTTAGCCTTGCTGCTGCTCACCAGCCGTACATGCCAGTGTACACTGGCTGGGTGGATTGTTGGCAGACACTGAGTAGGGAGGTATGTAAACCCTTTTGTTACCCTTTTATTCAAACAAATACACAGGCAGTTTATGGTATGTAGTATTCTTAGGCAATTTGCAATTTAGTTGGTGTCACCACACTACATACACCAATCACTCGTATTAAGGTTTACAGGGGGCCACACACAACATGCATATGAGTACACCAAGCAGGAATGCAATGGATTGACTTCACGACAATCCAACAAATTGGAAATGGTCGGCAAGAAATTTTAGTTAACATAATTATTTTTCACAACTTTAGGAATAAAAAATGGTATTCTAAAGTAGCAGGAACTTTTATAAATGTCACCGAGGCTGATCGAAAAAAGTTTATATAGTGGGGCTTTGGAGGAGCTGGGGAAAATGTTTTTATGAAGATATAGATATACCCTTTATTTGGTATTTTGGTTTGGTAGTCAATCATTTTAACCACTATGCTGCATTTCCACTTGTAATATTGTCCCTGTGTTCTTTTTTCTAGTGTGAACTGAAGCTTGTAATATTGTCCCTGTGTTCTTTTTTCTAGTTTGAACTGAAGCTTGTAATATTGTCCCTGTGTTCTTTTTTCTAGCGTGAACTGAAGCGAGGTTCAAGCATATTCTGGCGACAAGTTTCGAAGGGTCGGGTCATGGCGACGTACAAACTCAACTAAAAATCGAGTTTAGTGATGATGATGAACAATCTCACCTAAGGATCTTGTCATGAAAACCTGTTTAAAATAACTTACGTTGCTATTTAAACCATTTGTGGAATTTTAGGGAATAAAAAAAAAATGTGTAGTAGTTTATATTTAGATATGTGATGCAAGTAATTTTGATTAGGCAATAAATAATATGAAGATAATTACAGTTTTGTGGTTTCACATTTTAAAGTAAGCTGTGTATCTCAAGTAAAACTATTCACAAATACCCATGATTAGGTATTTTTTCAGATTGTATGAAGAAAATTGTGTCTTTTTTTTTGGCAAAAGTCATATGGAACAGTTGTGTCTAATATGCAATTTGATACCAGATTTCAAGTTATGTAATGTTCCTTCCTCACTATCAAATTTTATGTAACACATTTGTGTGGTGTTTCTAGGTATATATGTGCATGATGATGTCATATTACAACCAAATATGGGCATATCACATTTATTTGTCACATCAACTTTGATAGTGTGTATAGAACTTACCAGATTGTAGGCTGTTCTTCAATTTACTTTATATATTTGAACTCATTTTTTTTAAATAGTTTTGTTTAAAAATTATTCTTTGACAAGTAATATAAGATTTTATTTTCAGGTGTTTGCTTAGATTTGCTTGCAATTTCTCACCTGTTTGTGTATTCTGAAGTCTAAAAATCCGTTCCTTTTATGGCAAAGTATTGAAATGTAACATATGATTGTTAATCTATCATTTATTCCTATAGATTGTGAGTAAATTTGCAATTATTAGCTGCTCAACAAAAACCACATGCTCTCTTCACTGAAATCAATTTTTAAATTTTTATTTTTACACTAAATAATTTCACACTTTGCCTTAAAGGGGACAGATTTATAGCTCTAGCATTTATAACACCAGCGATCAAATTGATCACATCTGGGAATTTTTTTCACTAAATGTTGTCTGTCGTAGAAACTAATTAAATCATGATTTTAAAAAATTGTTTATAACACTGTCTTTCTTTTAAACAAACTTAATTACTATTTGCTTGAGCAATATCCCAGAGCAAAAGTAATGGTTTTATAATTTGCATAATGTGGTGTTATACGCTAAGGGAACTATTAATCTTGTCACACCCAAGCATACTCCCCTCCCCCACATACCTATATGCTATTGTTATGCTTTCAGTTGAGTATTTCAATATTTGTAGCTCAAAATAAACATAAAAAATTCAACCATTCATGGTTGTAACATAGGAGCATTTGGCGCAGCAGTATTAGTCATCAGGCTTTCAACTAAGTGGTCATGTAGCTTGTGTCGAGTCATGTACCTTGTGTCATTCTTGCAAGACACTTTAATAGATGAATGATTTGAAATACTCTTACAATTTTCTTCCAAAATATAAACAAAGAATGGATGCAAGGATGACCCAAAAAATCAACAAAAGTAAATTTATTTCAAATGTGGTCCTTGCTGAGACTGAAAAGTGAATATTGAAGGTGAAAATTAAGGGACCTCAATGGAACTACGTCTTGGCTTTCTTGAGTTATTCTTTGAATTTCACTATCATTGTGGATATTTTTGTATTATTTTGTTCTTGCTTTTTATGTGATTTCAGATTTTCCTAATAAATTCATTCATTCGTTCAAGAGAGTTAGATTAGGGAAAACATACAGAGGTGTAGAGTCTTATGGTATTTTGGGCTATATAAATCTGACAAATAATAATAATAATAGAGGAACAGGTTTTAATTGTCATAATAATAAATTGAATACAGTAATAGGTGCTTGCCTTGTTTTTTTAAATGTTGAATTGACTACATTTATCGTAATAGGTGCTCATTTACATTGGTGACATCATATAATTTGCATAGACCCCTTGCACAGGTTTTTGCACTTAACAGATGAAAATGCGGACAGCCCAGAAGGCATAAAACAGTCAGCTGAGCTGTTTGCACACTGATACGTAGAGTGCGTACACGTTAAGTAAACAGTGCAGCAGGTCTATAATTGATGACAATTATGCAAGAAACTTGCTTCTAACTCTTTGAGTTTAACACATTTAGTAAGAAGTATTGTATTATGGTAAATATGGGTTTTGTTGATAACCAATTATGTGTAGAATTAGCCACCAAACCATGAATGGTGTTTCAAAAACTTTGTCTACATCATCCATTGACTTGGTTTTTGTGTAGTTTTTATTTCACAGTTGCAGGAACAGAGTGCAAAGGCATTTTGGTTTTTTTGTTTGTTGTAAACACTTTTGTTACTCGTATATTTGACCATAGCACTAAAATGTTTTCAAACTACATTACTGTAATGGCAATTGATTTATTGTCCTTGCTTAGGGAAAGCGTATATTTTGTATTCAATTTAAATAAATGGTTAATTGGGTATATTGCTTCAGAAATTTACCGGTATACAGTAGTTGGTGTGTGAATGTGATATCTTTTCCCTTAGTATTGAGTCAAAGTTATTAATTATTTCAGTAGTGGCTTCTTTTTTTTTGCAACATTTGTCTTTTATGTACTACACAGCATTTAAAAAATAATCATTAACAATACAATAATTTAATTTTAGACAAATTGTTTAAATTGATGTTACGCTATGAAGCAACGAAAATAAACTTCTACCTTGCATTGTATTTGTACAGGCTTTTATTTGGTCAAGTTATATAAAAGCTGGTTTGAATCTGAAACAAGTGGTCCAAATTTATGTCAACAGCTTATTTAAGGAGTCATCACAACATAAATATGCATCATAAAAAAAATATATCTGATTTTTTCTTCGGCTCATGCGTGTTTGAAATTTCCAGCACCGAAAAATGTACTGAAAAACTGAGGAAGCCCTTTATGGGTAAACATTTGGAACGCTCTTCCAGCCCACACAAAGTGAAAATATTTTGTAATTAAAGAAATGTTGAGATTTTCAAGAGATTTTTTTGCAGGCTAACCCATTAAAAGATATTTTCCTTGTCTTTTTCATTTTATATATGCTTTTACAGTACTTCAAAATTATTTACATATCAATTTATTTTATTTAGTTTTACACTATATAATGCCACCCTGACACTTACACGACTTTTGTCCCCGCATTGAGCGCAAAGTATCGTGGCAAGGCGTGCCATTTCGGTTGGGGGGAGGGTGTTAAGCCATATTTGCGGCCTGTTCGCGCACTGTACACGCATACGTTACGCACGGTCTACGCATGCGCGGCCAAAACTGGGCAGCATTGGCACACATTGGCTATGTTCTCGCACGGCAGCTAACGGTTAGCAGGATCCGGATCCTCTAATTTTCACCGTTCGATTTAAACAATAGTCTACTACAGTATAATCTCGATGTGCTAACTTTTTCGTTATCGATTTTAGTATTTCGTACTCAAAATATCAATTAGGCCTATATTGTACTTTGTTTATTTCATTTCACCTATTTAATATTATGTTTTGAACTGACAGAAAAATCCTATCTCCAGATATACAGTTATACAGAAATCATGATTTAAATGTTAAAATTTGGGTTGTTTAATATAAACATGAATTAAAATTAAGAATGAAATACACTTGAAAAAATTGTTTTTGAAATTAACAGAAAATATTCCAACTGGCAATAGGCCTATATATTTTATATTTTATTTATTTATTTAGGCCCTATATTATAATGTTTTATATATTATGTTTATTTTATAGGCCCATAATTTTTTTTTGTCTAATAAATGTAATTTATTAAATCTAATTGCAATCCTCATTCTTGTCGGACATCTTAGCCCCCACCCCCATAAATTATATCCTAGAGCCGCCACTTTTGTATAGTGCTAACAAAATCTATAAGATTTTACATGCCTATCATTGTGTTTGAAAAAAAGTGGAGGATATGCTTCTTTTTAACCATTTTATTATAAATACGTAAGTCAATGAGAGTTCTAGTTTGTCGACAATGTTGTTGTATAGGCAAGATATACAGACAGCATACGTTTCCGCTTACGTTTCTTATGAAAATTTGACTCAAGTCAACTTTTCATAAGAATCGTTTGCAACGCAACGATTTCATTCAACAAAAAGTCAATTAATCGCGGTTTCCTGTCAAATAGTGGAAAATCAACGTATCACATGAAAATTCAATACGTCGGTTTCCTGTCCAAAACTGTTTTGCGACGATTTTAGTTTACGTTACGTCCATTTCACAACAAACCAGTCGCAATCGGTTTCCTGTCAAATCGCATTTTCTTACGATAAAACGACGTAATCGTAATAAATCTGCCTTCTTACGTCGACAGGAAACCAGGCTTACTTCTAAAAGAGCAGGAGAAAAGGCAAGAGGAAGAGCATTCTTCATTGACACGCATTGACATGCATTGTCGGCAGTGTTTGCGCAGTGTTCACGCATGGTTGACGCATATAGCACGAACATTGATGCGTGCCAAATTTTTGAACATTTTAAAATTCTCTCTACGACATGGCACGCACCCTTTATGCACTCTTCACGCTTGTTCCCGAAGACTTTAATCATTGGCACGCCGAAGTGCGCACCAGTGCGGGAACGAAAATCGTGCAAGTGTCAGGGTGGCTTAATTGTGTGATTTGAAAGGAAGAACATAAATGCATTACACAACACATTGGTACCTTTCGTCTCGCAAGTAAAGGAAGTTGCATTAAGAGTGCCGTCTTAGCAATTTACTATAGTTTTGAACAGTACAGAACAACCTGCCTTGTGGCCTTCCATAGAGTTATGAAAATGTTCAGTTCAAAAGCTCTATGTTGTGTCTTCAAGCGTACTTTTTATAATAATACGCTGTGCCTATTTTTACGACGAGTTGTGAAGATAACTCCCAATGCTATTTTTACGACGATCACTAGCGCATAGCGTCGCTCGTCGCCGGGAAAAATAAACAAGTCTTGAACTGAGCGAACCACGACGCTAATTTAGGCCCCTTTAGGAGTCCACTAGCTAGTCAAGGTTTGCTATTTATAAGGTCCACTGTTCATAAGGTCCGCTAATCATAAAGACCATTGTTTATAAGGTTCATATTTCATAATTCTTTAAATAGTCCACTATTCGTAAAGCTCATTATTTATAAGTTTCGCTATTTATAATAGAATAACAGGTTCGCTAGTTATAATAAAGGGTTCGCTATTCATAATCAAAAAAAGAGTTCGCTAGTTAAAATAGAAAAATAGAACCTTTAGTCATAAAGTTCGCTATTCATAATAAAAAAGAGGTTCGCTATTCATAATTAAAAAAAAAGTGGTTCGCTATTCATATAAAAAGGTTCGCTATTCATTATTTTAAAAAGGGGGGTTCGCTTGTCATAATAAAAAAGTCGCTAGTCATAATAGAAAAAGAGGTTCGTTAGTCATAATAAAAAGAGGTCCACTACAGTACGGTATTCATAATTAAAAGGAACCCCACCGCTACTACAAATTTAATTAAAAAATAGGAATTTAACAAACGAAATTTTCTTAAGCATCGTAAGCTTTTAAAATATTGAAAAAAATAAAGTTTATTTAAACAACACGTACAATATTTGAACTGTAACTTTTAAATCTGTCTCTTATACACATCTAGATGTGTATAAGAGACAGGTACAGAACAACCTGCCTTGTGGCCTTCCATAGAGTTATGAAAATGTTCAGTTCAAAAGCTCTATGTTGTGTCTTCAAGCGTACTTTTTATAATAATACGCTGTGCCTATTTTTACGACGAGTTGTGTAGATGTGTATAAGAGACAGGATTAAGGGGATACAATTCTGGTTTGTTGCTCGTAGTGTAAGTAAATCAGCTTACAATACTGTAGTATTACCGCTACCCATCTTTTTCATCTTTTGTTTTCCCACTCTGGGCATACTGTATATCTACTCTATTGGCTGAAAATCACGATTTAGAACCTGGCAGCTAACAGGCGGTAACGAGGACAATCTTCGCGCTGCTCTTGCAGCAGTGATGGGATTTGGTCAGCATCGTAGTCTTTGCAGACGCGTACTAAAGCATTAACAAGACTAAAAAACATTCAAAATTGTATATTTTCTGCTTATTTTCACGGTTTTTGTTCCAAATACAAGTTCACCTCCTTAATAACGATCAGTTCGTTAGTTTCAAAACATAGAAAATATTTATGCACTGTACTATAAGGGCCATAAAGTGAGAGTGGAACTTAATTTATCGAAACCCAAAATTTTCGCTTAAACGAGAATTTAGGTCTGGAACCTAATTTCTCGATGGTACCCGAATTTTCGTGACACTAGTATCCCATATGGAAATCTGTCGTCATGATTCCTTTACACGGCTTTTTACCTTCGAGCCTTAAGCAACACAATATTTTACTATCGGGCCTTTTTTCCTCCTTTTTCTCACCTGGCCTTTTGCTACCCAACATTCTGTGTTTCACACAATCTGCATCTCTTTTTTTTCCTTTTGACTTGATTGTGTGTTCTGATCTTTTGATAGGCCTATATTTTAAACCAGTTGCCATTCTAAATTTCTCTCAAATCCAGTACAATGATTACATAGCCTTGTGTTCAGCCGATATCGAAATGGAATTACCTTATTAAGTTCTTTTGTGAAATCTCTGAGACAAAAACCTTCAATATTTTCAAAAGATTTAAGAAAGAATGGAATCTCTTCTACTGACGTTTCATTAGTTGTCGCAAGAAACAAAATGCGCAAGTAACGAATGAAAAATGTAGTGTCGTCATAGTAAGCTTTCATACCTTGAAGCATATTTTCAAAATCATTACGGCGCCCTGTGTCTTGAAACAATTTATCGGGCAATCCTAAGCGGTATATCTTGAATGCATTCAGTGGATTTCCCAAATCTGCCTCTGGACACCAGCGTGTCCAGTTCATTATTTCTGTAACAAGTACGGCATGTTTGTTAGTTGTGCTCAGAAGAGGGCGCATTGATGATAGCAGTACCTTGATGTTAATGTAATCTGCAATGTTTGATGTCATAATACGGTCGAATTCAGGCTTTGCATTAGGTAACTTAAAAAGATCTGTACAGTTTTTGAGAATGGGTTTTGAATAGATCATATTTCTTTCAAAAAATATTAATGCAGATTTTATGATGCTGGCAATGTACGTATGGAATAGATCAACGATTGAGTTTGGTTGCGATACTTTTATTGCCTGGATGTAATCCCAGCCATTGAATGGCAATACATCAGCTCGGATGCAGTATACGAAGTTATAAAACTTTGGTCTTGACCGAACATGCACGCTTTTTTCCGCAAACCTTGGGCGTCCAGTTAAGGTAGGGTTATCATATTTCAATTCGGTTCTTTTATGGACATCATTTGGTAAAAACAATCCGTTTTCAAAGTATTTTTTTGCAGATATGCGATACTCTTGCGGAATCAAATGAATGTAAGTCGATATACCATTTGATGACCCGGGATCTCTGTCAAATATGCTGGATCTCTGAGCAGACAAATGAATGGAATTATACTTTCCAGTATTACATTCCATTTCTCTCCACTTTTTCCAAATCTCTTTCATCATTTCAAAATCCTTCTCCTCTACATCCAGAAGATTGTTTGTCTTACCCTTCAGTGTTTCGACAGTGTGTTCCATAAGTTCACTGAGGGCTGACATCAAAAGATAGAAATCTTCATCTGGGAGTTGAATCGAATACCATACATTCGTGATTGACACCTCGATATATTCTCTTGAACTCCGAGTTATCATCATATACAGGAACAGTGCACCTCTAGCTAGAACAAATGGATCGATATCGTTTAGGGTAAACCTAACATTACCTGTGAAGTTGCTTGGAAGTGATGCTGTTGTAAGCAGGAGATTGCGTAAGTCTCCAACACCTGCGAATAAGATGTTGTAATCTCTTGCAAGTTGAGAAACAACATTTTTGGAAGATGGTTCTGCTTCGTTGCAGCCTAGTTTCAGTACATCGACAGCAAGAGTGTTCCCGAAATAGTAAGGGAAATCATTCATCGTTTGCATTTCATTATGCCACTGAAGGTGAAATCTGTGCTTTTCAGCCAACGTTTTCAATTGTTGGCGAATTTGTTTGCATTCAGTTTTGTGAGATGGCCAATGTTGGCGTTGACATTCTCGGCTGCAATACGTAATTTCTTTGCATGCAGAACACTAAAAAGACAATGAGAAAACATCAAATCATCAGGTATTCCTTGGTATCAAGTTCAAAGAAATTCTGGTTTTAAAAATGATATGTATTTTGGGTTATCGCAATGGTCAAATCCTCATACAATAGCTTATTATCATTTAAAGCAAAATCATTTGAAAATTCCGCCCTTACTCGTGTGAAATTAAATATTTTAATTATTTTTTTAATATGAGATTTTTATTTTATTCTAAAGATATTTTCAATATGCTCGTTTGAACTTTAAAGAATCTAAAGAACCCATTGCATCTTTTGGAAAAGTATGGGCTACCCTGAGGCTATGGTTCACTTCAGCTCCTGTCGTTGTGGAATAATGTGAACATGCGCCTTTCTACGGCTACATAGTCACGGACCATGCCCATACAAAATTCAGCACAATGCCACTATGAGTAGTATTCTACTTTTACTTATACCATTAATAGTCTAACAATAAAATTGTGTTAATGTAGTACCTTTTTGTTTTAGTATAGTGATTTAACATTATAAATACAAGAAGTAAAATGCTTACCGATGAGCATTTAATTTTTTTCTTACATCTTGCACACTCTTTGCCTCTATTCCACATGTCGCATTCTACTTTATGTCTGATCTTGTCATGATCCAGACACTGAGTTCCACAATACTCAGCAATATTGCAACGAGTACACTTCTTCTTTGCTTTGTTTGTTTCACATCGCCAGCATAAGCCTTGTTCGACATCCATCTTAACTTTAGTCCTCACTTTCTGGATAGCTAATATTCCGAGTAATAGGTCTAGCCATCTAATCATATTGCATATTGCAGTGTATAGAGATATTTTGGAATTTCCCAGATATGATGAATGATGGTATGGCATTAGTCACAGGATGTCACCCACTTATTCCTAGCAGTACGATTAATGTTACTTGGCATAAGGCTAATCTCTGTCTCTTATACACATCTAGATGTGTATAAGAGACAGATATGATACTGAAGGGAGTTAGCCGTTGACACTGTTGAATAAATAATTATAATATAAATCACCAAAGGTACATATACAGTGTTAAAATAAGGACTTGATGGAACATCGTAGGCTACCCTGTAGCCTTTCAACGAATAAAGTCCTATAAGAGTCATTGTGTAATAAAATGCCTCCGACGGGATTCGAACCTGCGATCTCCCACTGACAAGGCGAGCGTCATAACCACTAGATCACGAAGGCTTCATGGTTGAACAGGTCCAAATAACCGTCGGGAACCTTGTATTACACAATGCTACGCCTCAAGAGGGCGTCCGGCCAGATAAATCAGGAAGCGAACTTCCGATTTGCGCGAATAAATTCGCCTAGTGGAAAACCGGCTGATTACTGAGGCTGACAGTGTTCTCTAATATGAGGCGCCAAGTGTAAATTTTTTATTTAAAACAATTATTTATATGTAATTCATTATTTAACTCATAATTGAATCGATCACCCATTATTTTTTTTTCTCTCTTGTGGGGTAACCCACCTTTATTCAGTATCATTTTCATTTATGTACAAACAACACGATTCTCTAAAACAAATTTTTAAATAACAAATGCAAACATGGACAATCAATAAATATTTTCAATTTTCAATTGTCTTTTTTCTTTAGTTGAATATCCATCTCTTTTTATTGTCATTTTATTTCCATACATTATCTCAACTTGACCATTGCTGCCTGAATTGGTCATTGCTGAGCCTGTGTCATGCCTCCAGCGTGCGGTGGTTTCTTTTTATTAAAAAAAAACAAATCACATATTTAATCAAATCACACAGCATATGCACACATACCTATAATACCCTTTTAAAGATTGTACCCTTTTAAAGATTTTGGAGTCCGTACTGAGCCCAAAAAATCCGCAATGAAAATATAACGTGTTTTAATTCAATTGTAAAATATCTCCAGATGTCCTTACATACAGGTTTATTTAGCTCTAGAAGAAGTTTATGCTTATAAATTGTGTACATCGCAATTGTATAAATCTCATTAATTTTTTTTAGTTTTCTTAAGATTTCCTTGGACGTCAACATTCTATTGTTATTGATAATATCTTACATTTTAAAACCAGATGCAATCCAGTTTTTATATAAAAATGACTGCTGGTTAAAATTTATGCACTTATTTCCCCAAAGGTTCTGTTCTATAACATCATTGTAATTGACAACTTCTTAAATATTACAAGCATTATATTCGGCAGTGGCCTTGAGTACATTTAAATAAAAAAACAGGAAGAATCTTATCCAAACAATGTTGTCTTATTATTATTATTATTTTAACGTTTGACATAGTAAAGATAACATCTACTGTACAAATCTTATTGAAATAGTATAATGGAAGTATTTTCCACTTCGCATTATCTTTTTCATGACTCTTTTCTCACCCAGCTTATTTTCAGGGCTTTACATTGTAAAGGAAAATCAGGCATTTTATTTCACCATTTTTAGGTAAACCAATCATTGTTTTTCTTTTGATTTTTAGTTTTAACTTTATTTTCAACAAAATCTGGGGTTTTAATTATTGATGCATTATACAACAGTTTTGAGAGACCTAGACTTTTCAAAATAGTGTTTTTTCCCATAAATGATAATTTTCTACATTTCCAAACGTTTAATATTTTTTTTCAAAACTAAGTAATTTGTTAAATTTTCACTTTTGATATTGTCATAACTGATACAAATGCCTAATTTTTTTATTGGTTCACTACTCTAACACAATTGGTGTGGTTTATCTTTACGATTTTTCCATTTCCCTAGCCACATGGCTCTTGTTTTTTCTTATTAAGACTTAAACCAGACATTTTACAGTATTGTTCTATAACCTTTAAAACACCTGTAAGACTTTTTTCATTCCTAACGAATACAAACGTGTCATCAGCAAGCTGCGCAATATGAGCTTCACACTGAAGAGGGTTACATGGTAAATTTATACAATTATTGTCACTCCTTACATAATTAGCCATTATTTCAACAACTAAAATGAACAACAATGCAGATAAGGGACAGCCTTGGCGTATGCCGTTATACATTTCAAAACTTTCTGATATCCACCAATTGTTAATTATAACGCATTCAGTAAAGTTATAAATTGTTTTAATCCATCTACAGAACGATTTACCAAAATTGAATGATTTGATTGTTTCGAACATAAAATCTTTATTAACGGAATCAAAAGCTTTTCGAAAATCTAGTGAGAGCGTGATGCCTTCAATATTTTCATTATCTGTGTATTCAAGTATTTCATTTGCAAGACGAATATTTTCATCAGAAAATCTTCCTTTTATATAACCCTTTTGATCATTATCAATAATTCCACAGTGGGCCTAATATCACAAGAAAACATTTCATTTGATTTATATATTGCTTTTGATGTCATAAAATAGTCTAACCTTCTGTATATTGATTGTCTTCTCCAAGTGAATTGTATTTTGTCAGGATTATATGATCGCCAACTATCAATTATTTCTAATTGTTTCATAAAGGTTTTTAATGTAAACACTGATGTGTCATTTTTGTTGACACTACCTTTTTGATCCTTAGTTCTATTTAAGATACAGTTAAAATCTCCTCCAATGAGAAGCTTATCGTCACTTAAGTTGGTATTATTTCTATATCAAAATATTGGTTAATAAGAATTGAAAGCCCTTTACTATGTGTGGATCCAGTACTCTGGAAGGCAGTCCCTTCCACAAAAAAACAGATTTGTTCAGAATATTATTTGTCAGATGTGTTTCTTGCAGTAAAAGAATATCCACCTTTTGATCAGAGCTCCAGTTAAAAATTTTATTTTGTTAATTTTTTTCTCTTAGGCCCCTAACATTAGGGAAATGCAGTGAAATATTGTGTTATTAATATTGAAAATGGATAAAATAAAAGTTTAAACACCAAAATTTAAATAGACAAATAAATATAATTTGAAAAGTTACAATACAGTAATTTGGGTTACATAAATACACATATTTTCTTTTTTTTTTTATATATTATTATTTTTTTCTTATCAAATTTTTATTTCTCTAGCATTGTATTTAAACCTGTTAAAATATAAAAGTTTTGTTTCATACTGTACCAAAGTGCCATATTATTTCTTGCGTTTCTTCTTTTTTTTTTCTTGAGCACAATTAGAGATGGAGTGGTACCGGTACTTTTACTGTTTGTCCTTTTTTCTCTTGTTTAAGACTGGGATCTTCACTTCCAGCTTTGTGCCAAAAATGGTGTAATCTTCTGTTGAGTGTCTTTTGTTTCTGTTTTGTTTTTATGTGTAAGCTTCTGTTCACTTTCTTGGCTGTTTGTGATGCTCTTGTCGTTTTCTTTTTCCATTTCTTCTTCACTACTCTCTGTATCTCCCAGACAACTATCACTATCTAGATTTGTATTGCCGGTTTCTCTCTCAGATTCATGTGGATCTAGTTCACCCTCTTGACATTCCATTTGTTGGTGCACCTGTTTTCCATTGAATTATGGCACCTAATTAGCTGTCTGCAGTTGCTTGCATCGTGACCCGCTTGTTTACAGTTACTACATTTTCTTATATCATTGAAGTGACCATAATGAAACAAGCGAGCTTTAAAACCATTGACCACAATTAATCTAATTGGCAAAGGTGTTTTAGATTTTTCTATAAACGCAAATCTGTCTCCATTTAAAACACTAGTTAGTTTTCCTCTTATTCTCAATTTCGCCCTAATGATCTCGCTTTTGCATTTTCCACCAAGCTTTTTGATCACATTCTCAATTTCACAATCCGCAACAGATAGTGGAACATCCTTAATTAGCACCCGTATGCCAAGTATCGATAAAGGGTTAATTACCTTACATATAATGAGTCATAAACTCCTTTTCTTACTTCATCATTCTTCATGAATACAGGTTTTAATGTGTTGCTAGACAAGCTTAACTGTGCTTCAGTTTTTCCACTAGATTCAACAGTTGGGCTAAGGAATACGCATTCCACTGTTACGTTCCTTCCACCTGGCTTACCGCCATCTTCTCTGTCTATGCTTGCTGCGAAATTCATTTTCAAAATTCGACTACTGTACAATTAATTTTAATCACTTCTTTCACAAAATCACCTTTCAATATCGTTTCAGGACTAACTGACTACATTTACTGTTTAAAGTTTACATCATAAACTGCTAACTTTGACTGCAATTTTCGGGACACTTTCCTAATCATGCTTCTTGAAGTATGACCTGGGTATCACCCATTATTTATATATAATGCATATGCGTCTAAAAGATTATATGTAAATAATTGCGTTACGTTTCATGATTTATATATAATTAGTTTACTGATTACATTATATATAAATAATGAAAGGCTAACCAAACATTATGTATATATAATAACGTTACTGGTTGTATTATATATAAATAAGGAAGGGGTAACACATCATTATATATAACTAATGAAAAATAACTTACAATTATTTATATATAATAAGTTCACTGATTCAATTATATATAAATAATAAAAAGGTAACAAATCATTATATATAAATAATGAAAAGTCTCAATATTTAAAATCAATATTCGTATAAATTTCAAGATTTCAGTATAATTCCATGTTTACACGATAAATTAAATTTGGGAATAAGTAAATAAAATTCAAAGTTCTCGAATTTTGAAGTGTGTTTACGAGTGGTCTAATTAGTAAGTGAACGGTTATCATCACAATTTATAATCTTTTTTTTTCCTCTACAAGTTCAAATCATATCAATTAAACATTTTAAAATTTAAAAAACTTCTG